CAGTGGTGTAGCCACACGTACGCACAATACACACACACACACACACACACACACACACACACATATTCACAGCCACTGCTTACAAAAACAGTTTTCTAACCTCTAATTCAACAATCGCTTGAAACAATGGTAAATGTTGATTTGTAAAGCTTAATCATTTTGTGTTGAGATGAAGAAAAATGTTGAAATGATTTATTTTAGTTTACATACTGTAAATATAATAAAAGTTGCAATGTTCTTACAATTCTGGCCTTCTGGTGTATTTACTGTGGGAAAAGCTTTAAAAAAATAAACTCTGTCTCTGGAAAGATGCTCTTGTTTCACAGATCAATGCTGAAGGAAAGCTGATCATAATTGTGAGTTGAAACCACTTTAATGTCTGTACGATAATAATAGCTATAACCAGTAGCCGCTTAGCTTAGCACAAACACAGGAAACAGATGGAAGGAGCTAGCATCAGCAACTCTTAAGCTAACTAATATATAATTATCTTGATTAATCTGTGTTAAAACAAAAAAAGTAATTGGTTCAACTTTCGCTGTAGAGATGCTGTTTGGTTGATTATATTTTGTATTTCATATTTGACAGAGACAGACTAGTCGTCCACTCTGTTTCCAGTCTTTGTGCTATGCTAAGCTAACACACTGTCGGATGTAGCTTCGTATTTACCGTACAGGTTTCACAGTGGCATCAGACGTTTCATCTCTTGAAAAGTACTGAAGTTAACATTTTAAACTACTCATTCAAACATCTATTGAACTATTTTCTGTCAAACTATATTTACTAAATAGCAGACAATCGAAATGAAAAGTAAGAAGGGGTAGCCTACCAGATATATTTTTCAAATTTGGTTGTCTTATTTTTGCATCTGATGAAAATGCAACAATAAAAAAATTACAAATCGAGCACAAAATAGCTCAACTTGCTAATGAGTCAACTAAAATGTGTAAACATAAATAAATGTTTAAACAGTGATAGTGTAGTAGTGGCTTTACCTAGTGTTGGCTCAGTCAGGCCCGTGCCTAGGATTTCGTAAATACCGAGGTCCAGAACATGTATAGGAGAGCTCGGGGGGCAGGCCACCCAAAAATGTTTTATGCACACTAAAGCATTTCACTCTGGGCTCAGCAGGTGAGAAACTAAAGAGGGGCTTCCACATGAGGCAGACCAGGTGTTGGTGCTGCCGCATTTGGCACCCCCAATATAACTTTGTCCAGGATAGTCGTGCTGTTACCAAAATCACACTTGTGTTTGCATTTCACTCTGGGCTCAGCATATATACATATATATATTTGCGTATTATTCTTTGCTTTTCAAAAGCATTACATCATTATTTAGACAACACAAAAATAACTTAATGTAAAGTATTTATTTCACCTTCCCTTATTATACATCCATGGGTAAGTCCGGACTGCGGCTGTGTGTTGATACATTGATGTTGTCTTCTTCTGTTTGCTTGAATGTGCTTAGTTGTGCATTGCCCCCACCGCCAGTAAATGAAAGTACTACAAAGAACCCTGTTAATTATGTGCAGTTATTTCACGAGTTTTATTATATACACCTCGAAAAAATTACAGAGGTCCGGACCTCCTGACCTCAATGGTGCACGGCCATGGGCTCAGTGATACACTATATAATACATACATAGTTAGTCTACCTCTTGGTCTAAAAAACTAAATAGAGCCATGAATCCATCAGTGCATGTAGCCATAGACAATCTCTTGAAATGTACAGTTTTCCTTCATTTTTAATATATAAAGTCTTCTCTCTACTGACAATGTGCTCATTTATAACAACAAAGGCCCTGGAAGCTAATAAAGTTAGTTGTTGACGGTGACTTTGACCTCGCTGACTCTCTGGTTTGTTTGGAGGCTGCTGAGCGGCTGTCAGCCAAATGAACCGCTCTCATTGTTTTTCCACACAAACACATTCAGCTATATCGGTCGGGAAAGCAAGCACAGATCCTCTGGATGAATTCATAGAAAACCTGCCAAATATCCTCACGCCGTCCCTCTATTTGTGGAAATCTGGAATCTGTTTTTGATTCAGCACCAAGGCTTGCTGTGTTTTCTAATTAAAACCGGAGTGATTCAATGAAAATACAGTACATATTCTTGTCAGCACTCTTGCTTGTATATGAGGAATCTCAAAAGGTGATCTGTGTTTTTAGTCCAGATAACAGGAGGCTCAAAGTTGGGTTTAAACTGACTTTTGATCACCATGTTAAGAATGTACCCTAACAAATAGATTTCTGGCTTCTTCTGTAAATGTGCATGTTCTCATATAATAATAATAATAATAATAATAATAATAATAATAAAGAAAGAAAACGCTAATAGGCAACAGAACATGATGAAAACACAAACAGGAAATCATGGAGGAGACAGTCAAGTGGACACAAATGAAAGCATATAATGGGGAGCACTACAGTGAGTAGGCAGATTTGAACAGGTGGGTTTTTAATTGGGATTTGAATGCATCAGGAAGTCCTATGTATTCACTTTCCTCCCTTAAGAAAGGTCAACAAAGAAGCTTTGCCTTCATTTCCGACTAAAAATTGGGTTTTTTTGGTGTTTTTTTTCAGAACAAATAATAACATCCACTTTTTTTCCCAAAAGCATTGCAAAAAACTAGGATATTGAACTCCTACGGTAGCTGAGTCTGCGTAAAATGAGAAAAACCTCTGATTTTGATCACTTATAAATAATGTTCACCAATAGTTGTATCAATTAGAGAATACACGGAATGGGTTTTAAGATAAGATATACTTTATTAATCTCAATTTGGGAAACAAATGTGTAATATTACTTTGATTATACCCTAAGAGTGTAGTTTAAAAGTGAATTGCTTATGTGGCTTTCTGGCAGGTTGGATTTTGGGGGCTAATATGCAAACACTTCATAAACTCTGTTCTTATCAGCATGTAATATATAACTCATCACCAAGTGTGTGACACAGAAAGAGCAGCACCATGGACAGCTCCCAGATGCATTCACTTTTACAGTTACAAGGGATGCAAGTCTTTTAGTTCACATCAGTGAATCATTCTATTTGCATGGCTGCTTAGAGATGATGAGATCTAACCTTGCAGTAGGTCATATGTTCTAACACGTCTCATATATATGTGGAAAAGGGGCTTTAACAGATCTTCAAAGACCGAGGTTCATCTTCCAAGTGGCAATTATCTGACGCAAGAGAGGTAGCAAACACATATCACACACACTGTTAAAAAAAAATAAAAAAAGCGGAAATATCAGAAGTGTAATTTGGAAAATCTAACACCCAAAACATTGCATTGGTGATCCCTGAAAACGTGTGGAACTTTCTAAAGGAACCCCCCTCCTCAAAGCCCGCCTGTATCCTCCCTTATATATGGGGAAATAGACCTGTAAAAGATGCCCTCCCCCCCTCCTTTATTCCCTGACGATCCCAGCATCCCCTGCTGTCCCTCAGGACTCTCGATGTGTGTCCATGTTTCCAAAGCGGTGTCTGAGCTTTCATTGACGTCAAAAGCTTCAGGCTGGATGTATAAAGCCTTCATCCTGCGGTCTTAGCTCACAGGAACTCTGCAGACTCCGACCCGAGACCCACAAAGTTCAGCTGCAGCTTCTGGAGACACTGAAGTGAGTACAGCAGCTTCTATTCACCCTTTGTTTGTATTCAAAGTTTGTAGAATTGGACGTTATTGATTAAATGAGAAAATGGCGGGAACAATAGCCTATACAGTGCAGCCAGATCGTCAGCTTGTGTCCTTTTCTTATTCTTATGTGCAGTCTTTTAAATGTAGAAGCCTATTTTGTATTGTTTTGGTGGTTTTTGTTCAAGTTTAACCCTGGAGAAGTTCCTGCCAATATTGTATTTTGTTTCTTTTTTTTCTTGCATGAAAAGCGTTTGTCTTATTGGCATTCAATGCACAAGATAACATCATAGGCTACTTAAAAATGTGCATACAGTAAGTTATCATTAAACGGTGGTTATGTAGAATTTACAAGGTTTTGCAAAGGACTATAGTTATAATCACCCTGAATGCTACTACAATTCTAAAAAATAGTAAATGTTTTGTTTTACACGGTTCGCATCTGTAGTTTAGTTGGTTTGTGCATGCATTTCAAACTGTATACAACATACGTACATCACTCTGGAAAAGCTCAAAAAGTGCGCGACAAAAATAGTGTTTATGTGTTATCCCCCTGATTCTGCAATACAGTGTGTGTGTACGTTGTGTTAATAACCCCCTCTGTCTGCAGGACATGAAGCCGGTGCCCCTGCTCCTGCTCCTCTCCTCGGTCCTCCTCTCCTCGCACCTCCGCCCCGCCGCCGGCAGACCGCGCGTCCTCCCCGGCTGGCTGGATGGCAGCAGCCGCCTCCAGATGCAGCGCCTGGAGGAGTCTCTCCTCAGAGCAGCTTTAGCCGGGGAAAACACCGCATCCTCGGATCTACTGGACGAGAACATCCTGCGGTTCCTGGAGAGCAGAAACCCGGACCCTCTATACCTGCTGCCCGCTAAAGAAGGGGAGGTGAGGGCGGCGGTGCATCTGCTGAAGAGGAGCGAAGACCCCCCGCTGTCCATCGACCTCACCTTCCACCTGCTGAGGAATATGATCCAGATTGCGAAGGTGGAGAACCAGCGGGAGCAGGCGCTGCTGAACCGCAACCTGCTGGACGAGGTCGGGAAGTAATTACGCTCTATTTTTGTATTCTAAATGCCTCGTTCAAAACAGCCAAAACAGCCGCTGTGTTAAATAATCAAGACTTCTGACATTAGTTGTTTTTTGTGCGCCTGCCTTCCTCTCCACCTCGCCAACATTGTACGCACAGATGGTGCCAATTTACGCATCACAGCATCCGCGCGTAAAATGTGTTTTCTTTAGTTTTCTTTAAAGACTTTTTG